GTTCAAACCTAAAATATGGGGGATTCTGTTTGGAAAAGAAAACAAAACAAAATTGCAGGGATTCTATCAGGGAGGAAGGAGGAAGGAGGAAGGAGGAAGGAGATGATTACGAGGGCATTGATGTAATTTGAATATTGCATCACACTACCATATGTATTTATTTTAATTTAATGCTAATAAAATGGTCACCCACAATTGCCGATTCCCAGTTAAGGCCTCGAAATCATCAGAGACGTGGCTAAATGAAGGAGCGATTGCTGAAGGGAGAGTGTTGGAGCGGGTGCTCCAAGCACTCCTCAATAAGTAAATATCACTGTAAGTTTCTATTGTAGCATACAGTTAACTTAATACTGAATTTAGTGATTTTTTCTTACCATAAACTTTCTTTATGAAAAATAAATTGACTCCGTAACAAGAATTCCCACCCCTGCCGCTGATAAGAATGCTAGGTAAGCGTTGGAGAAAAGTGAGACTCAATATGTCATGTTACTTAAAATACTTAAAATCTTATGAATTTCTATAAAATTATTCAAATATTCTTAATGAATTTTTTTAATGTATTGATTCATTACCAACAACATGTTGATCCAAATAAAAAAAAAAATTAAATTCTTTTTAAACAAAATCTCAAATTTAAGTCGGATAAATAAAGTGATACATAATAGAAAAGTTTCTCTTCATGAGGTCTAATAGAACTTGACTTCTAATTAATTCAAATCTAATATGATTTCTGAATACTGAAGAGCTTAATACCAAGAAAAGTGTACCATTTCATTAAAAATATTTTAACCTTTCTTATTTTTAGTACTGACATTTTAATTACTAAGTAGTCCTAATTTTCTTCAATCCCTAAATATTAAGAACCTGCTGATGCATGAACTGACAACTATAAAAAGTTGATTATTAAACAATCACGATTACTGTAAAATTAAAGAAATAATTGAATAACAACTTTCCCAGCTAAACCAACAAATTGTCTGATCATTTCCTTTTTCAAGTCTATAGTCAGATGTCCACCTTCCACCATGAACTTACTCCCACATGTACACCACAAATTGGCATAACGCCGGTAAAGGTAACCAAATAACAATCATGCCTAAGGCTACAAGCAATTGTCATGCCGCTTCAAAACAACTATATTGAGCTTTAAAACTAAATTCCACAGCTTCCCATCGAAAATCACATTAAGGTGGGACCAGGAAGCTGGACAACATCCAAGAGATATGTGCTCAAGGCACTTGGCATATGGACTTGTTACCTTTGAGGTTGTTCTGAACCAGTAGCACCGGAAGTGGTACTTGGCCCTGCACCATTTTCAACTGGAGGAGAAGTGCCCCATTTTCCTTCTGTCTCTAATGGCTCAAGTATGTGGACTCCACCATCAGTAAGTCCCAATGCGAATTGATCAGGGTCGGATGGGTGTGCCGCAATGACAAGAGGATAAACTCTCAAGCTGTTAAAAGGGGAATGTTAGGAGCAGCAAACAAAACAAGCCATACTGATTGGCAAGCTTTTATAACTAATTAACAATTAAATAACTTGTATAATTGGTAAAAAAAAATAAAAAAAAAATAAAAAAGAGAAAAGAAAGAAAAAGAAAAAGAAAAAGAGAGTACACAGCACCTTGGGTTTGGAGGTAGATAGGCAGCAGGATTTATTCGACATCTCAGTCTTAGGTGTGAAGCAGTAAGAACACCTATACTTCCATCTTCAAAGCTCACATATATTGATTTGCTATCACAGGAATATGTAGCACATGTTATTGAACCACTTGCTTCTCGAGGGAACCACTGTTTAAGAAAATAAGATTACATTAATATCAGAAAATTGATTAAACTCCCAAATCACATGGGTGATACAGAAAAGGAAAATAAACTATTCTGGCGAGAAACATAGATATATGGCCATTGGCAATGCTGACATGCATGTAAAACACTCACATTATGTAAAAATCATATATGTGGTGTCAAGATTTGCAGCATAAATCATGGAATGCCCCTGATTTAATATAAATTTAACAAAATGTAAAAGCTCAAATATAATATGTGATAGCTGGGACACCTGCTTTAGGCATTCTAGTTTTGATGCTTCATATATAGCAATCTGCGTTTCATGAACTGCCAGCAAATGTATCTGATCCAGGTGAAACTGAACCCGGGTATCAGCAATGGTAGATGCAACTCGCCCAGTTGGGATTTGCAAGACCTTACTAGTTTGCTTCTCCCATCCATCTGTACTCCAGACACAAAGCTGCAAAAGAGAAACAAGGAATATGCAAAAATAAGTGGATGTCAATGGCTAACTAGTTCCATGATGGGAAGTACTATACTTTCTTGTAATAGATACAACATGGTAGATAAATATAAGAAATACTATTACTTCCTAACAGGAGAGGCAAACAACAGAAACATTAGCAGAGGAATGAAATGAACCAACTAGAAGATTATCTTGTCAGCAATAATTCAAATTGGTTGTCTGACAACACCTCTCCTTTGACATCCTCATGGGAAATGTAGATCATAGAATTACTTACGAAAACATAAGCAAGCACGTGAGGTAGAGACTGATATTTCTTACCTGAGCATCAGCTCCTGATGACACAAGCACATTAAGAGTGTGTGAGAAGGCAAGACCTGTTATTCTTTTCTGATGGCCCTTTAGCTTTGTTTTCACCTGTCACAAATGAGCATGCGGTCAACGAAATTCCCACTTCCCAGTCATTCATAAAAAAAACCTAAAATTTTAAAATTAGAAAGACCTCATCAACCCGAACATTGTAAATTTGGATGGAGGAATCATCCATCCCAATAGCAATGATATTATTGTCTTGAGGATGAAACGCAAGATATGTAGCTACTGGTGGTGGGGGCATGAATGTTGTCATTGTCTGCATGTTGAGAAAACAAGATATATGAGAACAAATATAGCTGAAGAATGTAAAGAAAGCATGACAAACTCCACCTAACTGAAATAAAATAAAATAAAATAAAATAATATAAAAGAAGAAGAAGAAGAAGAAGAAGAAGAAAGAGAGAGAATGAAAAAGGAAAAAAGTATCTTACTAGTGATTTTCTAATTAAGGACCTAACAGAACAACATCAGATTTGGTTGTTTTGCCCAGAAGTCCCAATCAATAATTTTTTCCAAGTTCATTTATCATGCATTGAAAAATTTCATCCTTTGTACTTAAATCAGAAATTTAGTAGCTTCATGGAAAACAACAAACTTGTCAAAGAGAATATGAAAAAGACCATTTACCTTAAATGTCATCATATTGAATAGGGAGATTTTACCCCCAGAAGCGGACATCACATAGGAGTCATTCTTTGAGAGTGCAAAGCATGGAACAGCGTCTTCTGGATTTAAATCACTTATATCATTGGTCATTAATATTCCACTAGCAGGTTGCCATAATTGTGGCATTATACTAGCTGTCGCCTGCAAGGCAAAAATTTTTTGTGAAGGGAGAACTTACAAGTTACAAGTAGCAAAGTAACACCCCCAAAAAATTCAGAAGTCAACTAGCTGGCAATGAAGATTAAAGAAATGTTAATACCTTCAGAGTTCGATCATTTCTTGGCCATTTCCAGAGCTTGTGTACTGCATTAGATGCTAATGCTAAAACGGCAAGTCCAGAATTTGTATAGATTAGCCTAGAAACCTGAAACAATTTATCAAATTGTCAAAAACACAAATGTAAGCAAAACGTACTCACTACTCAACTTAGGAAAAAAGAATATGAAGAAAGTATTTCTGGAAATCCATAATAGACAGTATTGGGGAAAAAGTATTACCAAGTTCAACTAAGATTCAAACAGTTTACTCACCCTCATTGCTGTTAAATTATCAGGAAGCCTGAGGGAGCGGCATTGTGATGATTCATTTATCTCTGTAAGTTTCCAAATCCTAGATTTTTCTGCTGACTCATCAGCAATTCTAGGTTTTATGTCAACTACATTTCGATTATCAGTGCTCTGCAGAGACTTAAAAAGAAGGTTAGATCATTTACTATGTCTACTTTCTTATCCAAAATATGCAAACCATAACCTGAAAATGTGACAGCTCCAAAAACTTAGCACTTAATTTGTTATGAATCTAATTTGGTAATGATGGCAGGAGATAACTCACCATTCCAACCATTGCAGTTACTGGAGCAGACCGATCTCCAATACTTGTTCCAACAGTTGCATTAGTAGATCCAAATGTGCCAATAGCTGGAACCTATCACATAGATTGATATTCAGAAGAGATTGAAAAAAAAAAAAAGAACTGCCATATGCATTCTAAAGCTTACCTTTAGTACAGATCCTGGAGGAACTCTAGAAGGATCAAATATACGACTCTCCATTGTCCGTAGCAACCTAATCCCTTCGGCATTCGCTAGAATTTTAACTCCATTGTCATCTGTTGAGACAGCTAACAGGATTCCTTCCTTGTTAAATCTAATGCAAGGAGAAGCCTGCAATTTTTTTAAAACAGTCAATTAGTAGGTAGGAGGTTGAATTAGACACATGATAGTGAACTGATGCCTATTCAAGAATTACCGGTAAACCACCATCTGCATCAATACTTGTCAATGGATTAAGATTGTCCATGTCCCAGAATTTGATGGCAAACTCATCACCAGCAGCCAGGAACCGATTTTTAGTGGTATCAAATTGAACAACTCCAACAGACCGTTTCCCAAGACCATGATAGGTCCTCTTCACAGATCCTTCACTCTCATTCCATTCCACCAGGTGTGATTCCCCATCTTTATTTGTCCCACATGAGAACAATCTAGGAGTAACCAATAAATTATGAGAGAAATAGTTTGGTTAAGGATACAAAATTTGGCAAAAGATGAACCTCTAATCAATTAAGAAGAAAAATCAGAAGTATAGAGTGCAAAATGAACCTTGCTCCATCGGAACTGTATGCCATTGTTGTAGATGAATGGCCAGGTGCATTGTAGTCAACCCTTGAGCCCATATTATCATACAACCATGCCTTTATTTTCCCATCTGTTGCTGTTGAGAAAATAAACTGGAAGAAAAAGAACAAATGAGATAATTGATTTATAATCAACACTCTCACAGGATAAAAATGATTAAAAAGTATAATTCAGGAATCAGAATGACACCCGAAAAAATATTGAATAAATAAAGCATCTAGTTCATACAAATGAGAGAAAATCAGGGAGAAAATGGAGAATCTCTTATAGTATGTTTGGGTTGAGGGGAAAGGAGGGGAGGGGAAGATTTTTTGACCAATCAAATGTTAATGTTTACAGTAAGTGTCAGAACTTAAAACAGATTATGGATTTTAGGAAGCCCCATATTAGGCTAAGAAACCAACCAAAATATATATGGGTGAATATATGAGTCAATCTTCAGAAAAAATGATTGAGCTAGAACACATTATTATAGACATAATAAATTTACTCCTAGTATGAAGTCTTTTTCTTCTAATAAAAAATTTTGATACAAGAAGCTTACTCCTAATATAAAGTCCTTTTCTTCAAATAAAAAATTTTGATACAACAAACTTAAGAAGAAGAACACAATGGACTTTTTCAGTTTATAGCCTTTATGTGTTTCTTTTTGAAATTTACAAGAAAAGACAATCTCAGCAATGAATAAAAAGAAGTCTGGACTGCATTCTATTATCTGTCACTTCTCACCTGAATAGTTTCCTTGTGATGAGGACAGATAGAATAAACAGGGGCTTCATGACCTTCAAAAGTAAACTGCTTGGTTCCAGTAGCTGCATCCCACACCTGCAAAGCTTTGGTCTGTCATAAGATGATATCCAACAGATAGTCCATTAACTTACTGAGGAAACAAAACAAACCTTAATCAGCCTGTCCTCTCCACAGGTGATGATACTCAATTGTTTGTTTGGATAAGAGAATGCAAGATCATTAACATTGCCAACATGAGCTTCAATCTAAAAGATAAGAAAAATTGGAAGTGAGTATTTATCATCCTGCAGCTCCTATCATATACTTCGGACTAACAAGAGAAGGAAACTTCTAGGCGCAAATTGTAAAACTCAATGGACCTGTTGGAATATGAATTGATTAATAGAACACACCTCTAAGTGGTTTCGCAGATCATCACCACCATGGTAGGAGTACAAGTGCACAATATGCTTAGAGTATGCAACACCTGAAATAGGAAGAAAGCACCAGTTAAAACAAGCTTACTTTTTTCTATTTTGGTAGAACTTTTCAATTTGACATGCTGGACTATCAGCAGTATATGCGTAAAACATGTTCTAGAAATTGGTAAAGCAGCAAATATGGCCATATATCTTTTTTTCCCATAAAATTAATTTCTAATTGTAGCAGCAGACTGTCAGGCACTTAATCATAAAGGCCACAAACATACCAAACAGAGTTCCATCAGGGCTCCACATCACACGGTTGACTGATACCGTATAATCATTGGCAAGAGATGCCTAATTCAGAATCAAAATGTTAACATTAGTCAACTTCAGAAAGCACCGAATACAACCATGTTCAACAAAACTCGATCAGAGTTGAAACTAGAGAGCCAAACCTGCAAAGGCATTGAACATGATGAAAGTTCCCAGACCTTAAAACTTTTTTGTGCTATCCTTTGGTGACTTCCTAAATCCCACACCATGGCATCTCCAATGTTTGTTCCAACTGGAATTGTGTACATAAAATATTAATAAAATAAAAAATAACAAAAAATGGAAGTAAGCTAAATTCGGACTCTGAAAAACATACTGAATTTACATAAAAAGAACTCTAAGCAGGCATGAAAATTTATGTTCCTTGTTCCAGTCAAGGCTCACCAAGAAGTAAAATTTGTTGCATTGGATGGAAATCCATGCTCTTGACAGCTGAGCCCTGGCTTAGATTCATAACAACATTCTTTGGCAAGTCATCTGAAGAATAAGAACTTTGACCATGGGTCTGGCTGGCATATGCAACCGGTAAAATATTTACTGGCAGATTGTTGACCTGGAAAGTACAACTGATTAAGTATTTTACACTTGAAATATACTGTTCCAATCAAAAGCTGCAGGAAGATTCTATTCGATGCTACAAAATAAAGATTTCATGTTCTCCAATATAAGCATGAAGTCACAAATTGATCAGACCAGACAAACAAGAACACATACAACCTGTAAAAAAATCAGTCACCCATTTCTTATTTTTCTTCAAATAAGATAAGCTTTCAATGATAGGAACAGACAAGAAATAGATTACAAACTAATAAACCTTAGTACTCCTGCTAACCTTCTTTTTTAAGATTCAGATGAAGGACAAAAATTTAAGGACACAAAGAGGCATTTTAGACACTTCTCAAGTTATGCTCCTTTATAAGCTTCAAACACAGTAGTCCTCAGAGCTCAGAGGGTATTGAATGGAAACCTAAAAGGTAATTTTTCTAAGCATAACAGAAGCATGTAAGAAGTCCTTCATTCTTTTCCTTATTGCACTCTTCTCTCCACTAATACTAATTATAGCTTCATTACCAATGTCAAATAGTTAATCAAATTTTCATAACAATTATGTTTTTGCATCACCATGCTCTAATACATTTCACAGCAAACTCAACATTAGGTAACAGGAGGCTCAAAACAAAAAGTTTGATACACATTATGCATTAAAAAAAAAAAAGGGCTATGATTACATGGTAAAGTAAAATTTTCAATCCAGTGACAAGATGATTCCTTAACGTTGCAATGAGCACATGAATCAATATTCTTAAAGCTTCAATGAGTTTCCATAAGAACACTTCAAAGTCAGGTTAATGATGCACAAATGCTAATAAGCACATAGAATACACCAAGTAAATCAATTATAATAAATATGAACAGAGTATACTATTTACCATTATTACCTCATCAGATAACCCAAAGGGCTTGCCTCTCTTCAAGACATGTTCAGAATCTGCTGTTTGATAGTCCATAGCTGGGTTATTGGCAGGTGGAGTTCTCGGTCGCTTTAAGATTGCAGCTATCATAAGAGGCAAGACAAGATGGTAATGGAATCATAAATCACAATATACAAGGCATAAGAAAATCAGAGGGAAATGAACTCATATATTGTGTTTTTCATAAAAAGAGTTTTTAAAAAATTTAAGAAAAATGACTACCAAAACAAATAGCTATTCTTAAATTCTCCACATTTCCAGAATTCTCAATGCTTCTTGTTCTTTCATACTATAAATAGATTATTAACATGTTTCCTATTCCTAATATATTTCCTAGTTCTTTTAAATGTGTCCAAGATATAGATGTAACAAATAACCATGGCTTTATAACATTAACACCACATCTTCTGGACTTTAGTAAAACAAGCAGTAAAAGCAATCTGAATAAAATGACTTATGAAGGAACTACCTGCATTATTTGGTGCAGTCAATCCAATAGGTCCTGCAGAAGCTGAGGGGTGAGGCACAGGAGATGGATTAGCCATCCATCCAGCCAGAGAAGTTGGAAGAGCAGCAGGTGTGGGTTGAAAAGGCTGCAATAAACAACCCACTGTTAAATAAAACTCCATACCACAGAGAGAGCCTAGCAATGTATGACCTCTACTTCTTTTAACTTACACCATGAGCACTCAAAGGTGGGAATCCCCCTGCCTTTGGTACAGCACCCATTAAGGGATTGGTGACGGGGGATGGAGCCCGTGCACCATTTGGTTGTCCACAACTATGGTCTACAAATAAGGTTTTTATGTCAGGATTAGGCCTTGGATTCTTACAAAGCTGATGCTGCCAATTTAAACTGCAATTTAATCAAATAAATGTGAGTATAATAACAAAAAAAAAAAAGGAAGCAATGAATCCAGCTCAATATCTAAACATAAAAGAATCGCAAGCACCTCTGATTTATTAGTGTCCGTAGCCTTGAATTCTTCAAGCTGGGAAACTGAAGCTTATCACGGAATAGGGGGTTGGCCTCTATTAATTTTTTTAGTTCAGCAAGCATTATACTCCTAGCAGACTTGGTATCTCCATACTTTGAGAGCTGCTCATTTTCTCTGCACATTGGCATTAACACATAAAAATCCAGTGACTTAAATATGTCTGAAAGGTCAAAATTCATATTCTGCAACATGACAGAAGCATCAAAGGAGAACTAAAAGGAGATTGTTACCTGAAGTTATCCAATGTCAACAGATGTGTTATTTCTTTAAAGAGATCCTCATTAAATGCTGCAAACACCTTCAGGTCCTTGACCAAAATTTCCACTGCTTTGGCACGATCCCGCCTACATTTTTTACTTTTCTTTAAGTAACCAAATAAATTTGAAGGCATTGTTTTCAGCAAAATAAAATGTGAGTGAAATGAACGAAACAGTGAAATAACAACTAAATGATATGCTCACAGAAACTCAATTCAACAAATTTCACAAGGCTTACTTGTCTAGAGCTTCAAGGTACTTCTGCTTTCGAATCTCAAAGAAGATCTTCATGGAATATCTGTTATCATCAACCTTTGTGAAGCCAGACAGATACTTCTCCACCTCATCCCACTCTCCGCTTGTCACCATATCCTCAAAATGCCTCATGTTGAAGAAAAACCCAGACTCTTGCTCCAATCTATTAAATCAGTTTTTTTTTTTTTTTAAATAAAATAAAATTAAAAAAAAAAAAAAAAAACTCATAAAAATACCCCTTCTATAAATTTGTATGCCGATTACACGGGACCAAAATGTAACGTCTGGAGAGAGGGGAAAAAAAGCATACTTGTTAACTGTCTCTTTGAATTTTTCTTCATCAAGGAATTGAAGTATGAGGAACACAAGTTCTCTGCTTAACGATGACATGATTGCATAATCTGCAAAGAAATTAAAAAACCACCATAGAGATCTGAGCTCCAACAGATCAATTACGCTTAAGCAAACCAAACCCCTTAATTACAAAAAAATAAAATAAAACCCAAAAAAAAAATTATAGTACCAGCTCAAAGAATCCAAGAGTTTAAGTATAAAAATTTAAAAATTCATGAAATAAACAACTCACAGATTAGCAGAAACAGAACGGAAAATTAAAATCAAAACACGAAATGGAAGAGAAAGTCATCGGATTGTACCTTTTTGAGATTGATAGATTAATGAATTTCACAGATCGGGGAATTGAAGAGAAAGCGAAGAGAACGAGAGGTCGTTTCAGTGCTTTCTCTCCCTAGTTTCTCTTTCTCTGGTCTCCCTCTTTGCTCTTCTGGTGTGTATTTATAGAGAGAAATGGGTTAGGGATTTCAAGAGGAGAGAAGCAAAATCCAGTCTCGGACAAATTAAATATCGTGAACGGGACGAGATGAGATGATAAGTAAGGTTCGTTCAGTTCCCTTAAAAGGTGATAAGTAACATGATAGTTAAGGTGATAAGTTCGTGGTCTTATATGAATTAATAGGCTGTATTTTCGGCGTTCTCACGGAAACTTGACTATTTTGGCATTTAATGAGCCCACGATTTGCAATAGCATTGCAATTGAGCGCCTAGAGTTTATTTGCTATCAACTAAGCTTTTCAAAGTCCACTTTATAGGACCCATGAGCGGGTGGATGAGTTGATTGGAACTCTTCCAGCTTAATTAAAGGCCTTGAGTTCAAGTTCTGAGAATGCAACTCCGTTAAAACTCATAAGGGAAAGTTTTGCCGCCCATAGGATCCTGCCTGGCTCGAATCTGGATTAGTCAGTAGTCTAATGGGTTTCTGGATACCAGATGGTCATACAAAAAAAAAAAAAACTCCACTTTATAGGATTTACAGGAACATGTTAGAGAAACCCTTATTTAATAGCCCCATTAATTTCCAATTTCCTATTCTATTTGAGAGGGTGAGCTAATTAGTTGAAACCCTATGGGTAGGGGTATTCAAATATGATCCAATCCGATTGATCCGACGTAAATTAATCCAATCTAATCAAAAATCGATCCAAACCGATATAAAATTAGGTTGGTTTAAATTATAAAATTTTAAAATTAATATAATTGGTTTGATTTGTAATTTTATCTTCAAACCGCCTGAATTGTCTGATTACAAAATAAAATCTGATTACAAAATAAAATCTGATTACAAGATAACTTAATTAAATAATATAATATATTTTTTGTAGTATTTTAAAATTT